ATTACTCGTAACGTTCCGTGATGATGAGGCATTAAGCTGATATTGATAAAGGCATTTAACATCTTAGCACCGGCTTATTTCATCCGTGAAAAGCCGTGGACAAGGCTGAGTAAAACAAAATGGCAAGACATATTCCGTTCTCAGATGCATGGAAACTAACTCATTGTTTTCACCCACGTGAGAAGCAATCATATTGTGCTGGTCGTTGCTGGTTTGGTGCTACGTTTCAAACAATAATTTTTTCCAATAAAATATATTATTTCCTTCCTTGCAAGGACCAATAATATCAGGCCAGCCGGGTCTCACTCAATATAATGCCCTCACTCAATGTAATAATAGAGTCGTCCAGTTGCGTGCACCACTGCATGTTGTCCTATGGCCACGGGGTTTTGACAAACAAGACAACGAGGTTCCTAACAGTTTCATTGGCAAACGTGTTTCACGATATTCAAGGATATGCTAACACCCTCCGACAATGTAACAATTACCGACATGTGTAATTATATTGATATTGCAAAGTGATGTTTTCATATATCCAGTCTCGGTTAAGCATCAGCTGCATGCAATTCAAGATGCCTATCCGTCAAGTCATTGCGACGTACTAGCTGTGCCAGGCCGCACATCTGGGTAGTAACGGCGTTGAGTGGGTGTTACGTTTTCCTCGCGAGTTATGAAGATCGCTTCGACCGATATGGACCCAGTAATGCAATCGTTTCCAAGCCCAGAGGTGAATGGGATCATGTGGCTTTTCAAAGTCATTAAGTGGGTCCAATCAATGCTTTGAAATAACAGCGATCCGGAAATCCTATAGCACACGAAAACTCTACCACAGGCACAGACCAGGACACGACGGATGTGCCAAGCATGCCACAACGTTCAGCGAGGTACATTTATGCGCAAATCCACAAAAATAGTGTGGCGTCTAAACTGGGTAGCAGTGATCGTAGTCTAGTCTGTCATTACGTCAGAAGGAGATATTAAATGCATTATTTGATGGCAGCCAAGTATTTGCAGCCGCAATTTTTAGAGTCAGAGGGCAGGCTGTGAACAACCATAATCAATGGACAGGAAACGCA